ACAAAAACAGAAAAAGAAACATGCAGCAACTCTTCTTTATCCCTCCACCTGCTCCCTCTCTACCTCGACTAAAACCCCCAATACAGATTAGCTCTGTGTGTGTGTGTGTGTGTGTGTGTGTGTGTGTGTGTGTGTGTGTGTGTGTGTGTGTGTGTGTGTGTGTGCTGGGTGAGGGGTTAGTGGGTCTGTTCCTGGGGATTTGGGGTTTACAAAAGAAACAAAAAAAAAGAAAAAAAAGCCAAGAGTGATGCCATAAGGCTTTGCTTTTCTCTCATATCAGCTCTTATCAGGGCAGTCATTTTTGACAGGAGAGAAAGCCTTTATCTGGAAGAAGCTGTGTCCGTCTGGCCCTGCGTGTGAGCACAGACACACACACACACAAAGAGCCACGCTCAGGGCCTATCGGACTGGGGCTCACACACACACAGAGCAGGTAATCGGCTCACTAGTAGAGTTAGGGGGTTAGAGAAAAGAAGGAAAAAGCTCTTGCCAGAGTGTATCCCCCTCTTTGACTGGATTAAAGCCCACCAGTATTCAGTCCAGGTGCTCTGGAGGACAGAGGGCCGAGGGGGTCCACGTAGGGTTAACTCTCCCTACGGTGCGAGATCACTTCCTGCTGTTCGCCACCTGACACATCGTATGCACGTGGCCCTCAGCACAAACTGGGAAGTACATCAACGCATAGACATACATGGAATCATTTCTGCTGATCGATATGCGCCTCTGATGTTTCAGGGTTCATTTTCAGAGCGTTTAAGATCTTATTACCATGTCATGTCTTTATTCTTGTGATATACATTAACTATAACTATATAATAACACCATAATTGCCGACACTTGAAGTGCAAGATTATTTCTGTTTTAAATGAAGTGATACTGTGTTTCCATTGTAGTGGTTGACAGGGGAGGAGACATAAGAGTTAATTAACTCTGATTAGGATGAGCCACTGTCACTGAACAAGCCAGGGTTCTAGCTCGATACTCCACTCAGTAATTGCTTCCTTTCCTTTTTCTCTTCTTTCCTTTTACTTTCCCTTATATGTCTTCCTTGTGTCCATCCACGCATGGGAAGCTCGTCTTTCATAGAGGAGAGCTGGAGAGCCCTCTGCTGGCTCATCATGCACGTCTGTCAAGTGAAGATAGGCCAACTATTCATCTGGGCTGCAAAGCATTGGTTTGTTCAATAAAAATAAATAAAGATGTACAAAGTATGTTTTTCCATACAGAGTTCAGTTTTTCAGTCAGCTTCATGTAAAAGTCTTTAGTTGATTGTTTTTCATGTCTTTTAATCGCACACTGAGATCAGGCTCTGCGAGGGCCGTGCCATCTGTTGCAGGAGCTCTTACTCTTCCTCATGCTGCAGATAGCTGTTTATGACTCTGATCTTATATTTGGGTTTGTTGTCATGCTGCAGCAGGAATTTGGAACCAATAATAGGACTCCCTGATGAGAATGCAAGACAGATAAAAATGCAAACATCTGTGTATGGTCATTTGATCTGCACGAATCAAATTTAGTTTTACAAGAGAGACGTTTTAAGACACTGACATCAGCTTTTTTAAATCCTAAATAGACAAAGAGTAAAATGACTCTAACAGTCAAGAGTCATGGGGTTTTAGTAACCCCGATTCTCAATTCATACAGCTTTTGTGGTCCCAGCAGCAGCAAGCCAAGTTTCAGTGAAATTTCCTGCCATTTGATTAAAGCTACAACAATAGGATCAATACTTTGTTTCTATCCCTAAAGGTCAGTAGGTAGCACTCTGAATCATATTACATATATTATGTTTTTGTGAAAAAGAAAAAAACTGTACCAAAGTACATTTAACCAAAGCATTAACTTTAAAAGAAAGCTGATTAGCATGGCAATAGCAATAACATGGCTGATATCCTGAATTCAAATTGGATAAGCAGTAATCCTACTGATATACATCGATCTTTGTATTTCGCTAGCATTAGCTAGCTAACACTGATATTTATGAAGGATGTATTAATAAACATCCATTAATTACACATATTAATTAAGTAGTCAAAGAATCAGCTTAATCGAAGGTCAGTTGTTTAACATTTATGAGAATACGTCATTATGTGCTTATTTTTACAGAAAAAATGTCTACGAAATGCAGTGCCTACTTTGTAACACAGTCAACTCATGCTAAGCTGCACTTATACTTTGACATATTCAACAGATATTATGAGCAGAATAAGTCAGCGAGTTGATACAGTATTAAAGTCTTCCTACACAATCATTAGAAGTTTTAGTTTTCTTCTGCTCATGACTTACAGGACGTAAACTGAAAGAATTGAGGCTAGCCTAGCTTCAGGGCTAACAGCGTATGCGCTAACATTATTTGTGATGGGTTCAGTTTCAAGATGAGGACCAGACAACTCTCATAATCATGTATATTTAAACCTTATTAGTCAGTTTTTTAAGTAGGTACCCTTTCTCTTAATTTAACTCACCGAGCTTGAACAGAAAGAGTTAGAGCTACCACAAGGAATGATGATTAGCTCTTTTATAAAACAGGTATGGAGAGGGGAAGACAGCAGGTGGGGTCTCAGCAGAGGTCTTGGCAGGAGAGGATATTTATGCTCATGGCTCCTCGTGTTGTTAACAGAAAATGCAAATCAAAGTTACTATTACAGTGAGTATGTGTTTAAAGAATCAGGAGATGTACTTCTCTTTTAGTTACACAAACTGCTGTCGTACTGTTCAAGCCCCTCATGGTTCATCATAAGCCCCGAGAGTCTGAAAGAGTTTGGTTCTCAATATAGACCACAGGCCTGAGTCATGGCCTTTAGGTTACACACAACAAAGTAAAGAAGTTCAGTCAGGAATCTCTTCTTATTCTTATTATTCACGTAATTGTCACATAAAAGCGGTTCATAAAAACGTTTTTAGTCACCCGACGAGCAGCTAAAATGGGAGGTTTGCAGATTCGAAAGACTTTTTAAAAACATTTTCAGGCCTGAGTAAACTGCAAGGGTCTTCTAATGGGCAGTCAAAAGACAATACAATGGCTGCAATGTTTATTTCCTCTTCTTCTTTTTTTTTTCTTCTCAAATTTCAGTGAACCAGAAGAATATTTTGACCTGTTCAAAGAGTTCTAAGGACAGGGCCCAAATACTTAAAGGGATTATGCTAGGACAAGCTGCACTACCCACTCTCTGTTCCTAACTTCCTCCCCAGTGCCATTCGGTCCCTTTGCCTGAAAGACTTCCAGTGTTGCCTCATCTCTTTCAGGACCCTCACGTCCTCGAGCCTGACAGCCATCGCCTAATCAAAGACCTTCTTTTCAGAGGGAATGCTAAGTGCTCCTTAAATGGAATGAAAACAGGACACTTATTACTTGCTATTAAATTATTTTCAGTGATAGTACACTTAACAGAAAACAAAGCTAATGTAAAACATGCCATTAAAGCTCAACTGTCACTGGAGACATCCGCTGGTCCAAGTCTGTCTGAGTGGCCAGCAATGGTAGCGACAACCACATCATCGGCCTCGCATGTAGCGCCACTAGCAAATCACTGACTGCATGCCACAGGCTTTGACTTCTTCTGTTTGTTTTTCATCTGTCAGACTGTCATCACGCTTCCTCAGATCAGAAGTGGTGCTTTTTTTCCCCCTGTGGTTGAAATCCTGTCAGAAACCAGCTGTGCTCAGCTGTTCAGACTTCCTGCTCAAAGGACCCAGTGTTCATTTGTTATGTCACAAAGTCGAATCAGTTTTATTGATATATGTTGTTGTATTTTCTGCACAGAAATAATTCCACACACAGAATTTCATTGCAAAGATGTTACAGTCGGTCTTGCATAAAGCAGCTCTAGTAACGATATTTAGATATTATGTGCACGTGTATTTCAGAAATCAGTGGACAGTTTGATCACAGCGTGTATGTGTGTGTGTTTGCGTGTGCATGAACACACGTGTGTCGAGTCCTTTGAAGCAGACATACACCCCACCACTATCACTGCCGTTCTTGCTCCTCAGATGAAAGCTGATATGTGATCGAGAGTCCGGCCGCTTGTTTCCATTCAGAGCAGTGAAAAGGAAAGACGAGCTAATATTGTAGCACTTGTGATACAATCACACGTCAGCGTTTCTCCTTTTGAATAACACAAGAAAAGATTCCTATAGGGCACAGCTCATTTTGGGAATTATTTTTGGATTTAGCTGCACTCTGGGTTTGAAATCTAAATCTAAAGTTTCTGTAAAAGGTGGAAAAAAGAACAAAAAACCAGAAAGAAACAATAAAGCATGGGGGGATTGAATGAGGAGTAAAATGTGATTGGGGTGAAGGAGGCAGGTGGCTGGCCTGCTGTACACCAACCAAACCCACAAACAGCTGTTCATTTCTCAAAGCACCCTTGTGCCCCCCTCCATGCATCAATTCTCCCTCTCTCTTTCTGTCTCTCCCCCCCCAATATCTTCCTCTTTCCCGCTCCACCCCCACCCTCTCCCCAAGCCTCCAGTCCACCCAGCCATTCCTGCCTCCCACCTCACTCTGCTGCAGCTAAACACACTTTGATCACGCGCCAGAATCAGGACACAGCTGGCTCACCCGTGCACTTCTCACCGTCTGCTTATCATTTGTGGCGATAGTAAAACATGGCAGCGATAACATGTTTAAGTAAATAGTGACATTTGAGGAGAAATTAAGCAAAGTGGGAGACAGACAGAAAACTTCCAGGAGACCCAAAGCAGCGGCAGTCTTTCCTGTACTTACATCCCAAAAACACGCTAATCCAGTCAAGTGCAGGACATAAAAAAGTCAGGCCTCTCCACCACCACCCGCTCCCCTCCTCTCCACCCTGTGATCCAGGCGGGCAGGTCACTTGCTGGCATGAATTGCACGGCCTACCAGCAAGAAGACCAAACCAGAGATGAGCTCCAGGGGCACTCCGGCAGCCGCCACCATGAATGACAGGCCGTAGAGGACTGAAACCTCAGCGTTCGGACATGTTTCCCCTCTCTCCTGAAGGATGTAGCTCTTCACATCCACCACCTCCATCCACAGGACGTAGAGCAGAAGCGTGAACAGGAACAGGCAGGCTGCGGAGAGAGACAGTATTAGAGAGACAGACACAGAGGCCGTCAGTGCTGTGAGTGGCTGCAGAGGAACGCAGCTCCTCTTCATCTCTACTGTTACCACGGCGGCAGTGTTTACTGCTGTCGTTATAGTGACAACACTGCAGAGTGACATCTGCTGCTCCGCGTGCCGGGTGTGTGTTTATCATGTGACAGGTATGAACAGCTGACAGCAGCAAAGGCTGCAGAATGAATGTGCGTCTGTGCATTCGTCTCTTATTTCACGCTACAGTTAGGACCTACACACACACATAGATGCACAGGCAGCAGTCTATATTTTACCAGCAGCTAAGAGGAAGGCCCCGCCCAACTTGTAGAGTTTGTAGCTGATGAAAGGAACACCACAGACCAAGAGGAAGCCTCCAGCCAGAGCTAAGACGAGTCCGAGGATTATCAGCACGGTCCAGAAGCCCCGAAACACTGCAAGAAACACAAGCACAGCAGTGGAATCCCATAAGTGTTCTGCAAAGAAAGGGTGTTTTTGCTCAGGTTTTCAGTTTAATCCCAGCCCCTTGGATTCATTTGCTGACCGGTCCGCAAGCAAGATGCTGAAGCCCAGGTTGCTCCTGTCGGCTGGCGAGTCTTGCATTCCTACCCAGGATTTTTGTGTATGTGTGTGAATGGAAGAATAGGAAACACATTGCAAAGTGCTTTGTAGAGCTGCCAAGGTTAAAAGGATGTCATATAAGAACGGATCATTTACATGTAAGAAGCTAAAGTCAGCATCCAGTTACTCTGGCTCTGAGAAAAAGAAAGCAAGAAAACTGCTCTTCCACATCAGTCATTACGTGTTCATTTTGTTTGGTTTCAGTCACAGGAAGGCAACGCTGGTTCTGATCTTTTGCAAGAAGATTGGAAACAACCAGCCATCTGTAGATGTGGTTAAATGCTGTCCTATTTAACACACAAATAGAAGAGTGTTTCCCATCTTCCCATGAAACACTTAGCAAGAAAGCACAAAAAAGTGTTTCCCAAAATAGACTGTTCCTTCAGGCTGGTCCTTTAATAACTTCGATATGGTCCTGATACGTTTAGGCTGTAATATGAGCACTTTTTGACTGAATAATAAATACCAGATTAAGTATTTCTCTGCTAAATCTTTACTGCTGTAGCAAAGATGGGATTTACTACTGATATATATGTGGGGACCTACAGATGAGGCCAAAATTACTAAGCGTTGCTTCTTTTAACGGATCGAAGGAATTTGTTATACAAGTGTCAAGAACAGGAGTGAGGAGTATCCTCAATAAATTCCAAGAAACCCACAGAGTACAGAACACGCCTGGCAGTGGTAGGAAGTGAAAGATTTCAAAGATTCTGGAAAGAAAACTAGTGAGAGATGTTTCTAGAGAGCCCAGAATAACTGCGAAGACACCCATGAATGATTTAGCCAAGTTGGGAATTGTAGTCTCAAATGAGACAATCACTAGAGCCCTGCACAGGAATGATGCGAGATTGGAGACCAGGAAAAACTTCACTTCTGCAGAAGACACACCTTCAAGCCAGACTGCGGTGTGCTAAGGACACCCTAGAGACAGATAATGCACACTAGAAGAGCGAGAAGAGGAGATAAAACTAGAGCTCTTTGTCCACAGACACTTTGCTGATGTTTGGAGAAAGTAGTGAGAGTTCTACATCTTAAAGCGTCCCCACAGTGAAACACGGTGGTGGGAGGATCATGATGGGTGGATGCTTCAGTGGGTCTGGAACTGGGAATCTCATCGAGGTGGAAGGAATCATGAAGTTTATGTGAAGATTTTAAAAGCATTCAAAAACAAACCTGAGTCTGGGTCGTCTCTTTATCTTTAAACACAACAACAACCCAAAATATGTCGCTCCTGGGGAAGAACTACCTCCAGAACACCAAAGTAAATGTTACTGACTGGCCAGTTCAAAAAATGCAAAGCCCTGACTTGAAAATCACTGTGGGATGAACTGAAAACCAGGGTCCCTGCTGGAAGACCATCAAATCTGGAGAGCATGTGAGACATGTTGAAAACTACAACAAACGACTGCAGGCTGTTATCCAGCAAAAAGAGTAAACGACTGACTGTTAGCATCGAGGAGGTAATTATTTGGAACCTGGTAGTTTTTGTGAAATAATTTTGTTTCTATGTGCAAAGCAAAAATAATGTAAGCATCCAAAATAAAACAAGGATGTTCAGACAAGCTGTGCTAAAAACAAGTTATCGCTCTGTTAAACAGCATTTGGGAAATACCCATATTTTTATTCAAGAGTAAAAACTATTTCTCAATCATGTATCAAAGATTTGTATCAAAGATAATTTTACTTGAAGTTTAGGAGTGAGACTACACCTTAAGCACTCCTCTTCTAAATACCTGTACCTGCTCCAAACACCTGTCTGTTCTCGCTTTTAGGTCCCACCCTCCCCGTCTTTCTCTCCGTTTCCCAGATAGGCACTTGGTGTATCCGGCATCCTCATATCAATCTTCTCCAAACCTCTGCCTCTCACCCAGCTGGCGTCAAATAATCTATCCACGATTATTTGTACATATTTTGTTGTTCATAAAATGTCTTACAGATTTGACCTCACTACTGAACAACAGGAAACAGAAAGACGTGTGTCCATGCAGCATATATTTGAGACTGTGAATTACCTGCTGTGGGGTCATAATTTGGATGAGGGACTTGTCCAACTGCAACCGGTAGCGGGAAGAGGTAACCATGGATGCAAACCTTAGACTCTGGCTGGTTTGCTATAGTTAAAAAAATGAGAAATGTTTACAAAAATAATCACTCAAAATAATGGGCAAAGGTCTATAACCACAATAAACAGCAGACATATTAAGGCTTACACATAATTCAGTACTGACTTTATTGTTGCCTTTTATTTCCCATCATTGACTAGATTTTCTAAAAGCAGTGTCTGAATGAGTGGCAGAAGCACACTCAGCTATCGGGCCACTTGAATAACAATATGCTCAATGGTTGTTCTGGATTTCTTTTTCAATTCAGTGATGAAACATTAAGTGCAGCAGAAAATAAAAAAGACACAAATGCAAAATGCAGTCGGGGGAAAACAAAAAGCCCCAAAACACCCCATAAACAACATATTTTAGCAATCCTTTACATTTACTGTCACATATGGGCATTTTTCTTTTCTGCACTTGTAGCATGTCAAGGAGACCGCAGTGTTGAGCAAGGGACACGCAACCACATTGGACAACTCCCAGGAAAACCTTTGCTCAGCTTAACTAGAGGAAAGTTTCGCCTACGTACTGAAGAGAGTGGCCAGCACTGCGTGCGTCGTGGGCTCCACCTGAAACGCACAGCGCCAGAAAAAGCCCTCGTGGTGCAGCGTGAGGGAAGGAGGGGAGGTACTCGCTTCTTCCACCAACAGCGTCTAAGAAAAAGAAATGGAAGACAGACTGACATCACACAGATAGATGCTCGAATACCTAAAGATGGATGAATCCCATTTTCTGTCAGCGCTGTCAACACGTCTGCGCTCGCGGCTCTGTGTGATTCTCTACTTCACTGGAGCCACGGCATCAAACGTGGTTCTGATTATGGCCTGCTGGTCTGTGAGGTTTTCGAGGGGGAACTTATATTCTCTGCTCGCTTGTCAGAAATATGATTGATGGCGCCGAATAACACAACAACTTTAATCATCCTGTTTTATTGAAAATGAAAGACTTTGTTTCTGTGATGTTACGGAGGAATTCACTGGGGGATTAGCTTTTATAAATATATCCCTTACGTTGCACTCTTTGAACTTTCCCACAAGTGCTTCATGGGAGAATAAACTGGAAAATTAAAGGGCCACTCCACTGATTTTACACATGAAGCTCAGCCGGCTCGTCAGTGAGAGTCCTACTCGCCGTGTAAAAACAGTCGTATCAAGGTGCCACAGTTTTGTCAAACCTTACCCCGAACTGCTTTTATTTTACAGCTGGCAGTCGAAGTGATGGTCCAAAAATATTAAATCTATGAAATACACTCAAATATTCCGCAGCATGCTGATGGCAGCAAAAGGTTATCAAGGATGTCAGTGTGTGATGACTGGGTGGTCCACAGCTGTGGTCCAGACTGAAAGATCTCAACATCTGGGTGGATTACTCTGACATACTCTATATAATCCCTGTTTTTGTCTCCTACTCATGAAATAATACCTCGGCTGCTTATTTGCTTAATATCAGCATGTTCATATTTTAACCAGAGCCATGCTCATCTTCACAAAGATGCTACTGTAGTGTGTATGATGGGATGCTGTGTCACAAACTCTGGATGTGAAGTCAGAATGTAGGTGTGTAATGAGCAGGGAGGGTTTGATGAAAAGTGCATTTGGAGGTATTGTTGTAAGATCATAAAGGCCACTAAATACAAACTACAAGTCCACATGTCTCTTCTAACTCCTCTCCTGCACACTTTACAGAAGTGCAGTCACCTACAACAGGAAGGCCAAACATAAGGTCCGGGGGCCAGAATCAACCCGGCAACAGCTCCAATCAGGCCCATTGATTTTGAACCTTTAACTGTATTTTCATACGTTTTACAGCTTTTCTGATGAAGATCTCCAACAACTTGTAAAGTACCAGTGAGGACAGTGCAGGGAATGAGCAAGCTGAACTTTTTCTGTACTTTTGCGAATTTATCATGTGGAAGGACTGAGGCGTGCTGTTTAAACTGCACTTCTTGTTCTTATATTGAGACATCTCATGGATTTAATGTTTGGATCAAAGTCTTTACACTGACAGAAAGGGGAGTTTTACTGGTCCAGTCTACTTAAGATCAAACTGGGCTGTACTAACCACTATGTAAAATGAGTTTAGACATCCCTGGCCTCCCACACGTTTGGGCAGAGTGTAATCGGTCAAAAAAAAAAAATGCAGTGGTTTCCAAATCAGGAAGACTTCTGATAATGATTGTCAGTCAGCAACTTTTACTGGATTCACAAATGCAAGACCTTTGCTATGCCATTAAAGAGACAAAAACATATTTTTTAAAAACACTCCAGTTGAACTTATCTAAGAGGCAAAGTGGAAAACTGTAGCCTGACTGCTTTCTCTTGCAGGCCAAAGAGGTTAAGAGTCCTCTGCCCTGACACGGTTAAAAGTTAGTACCTGTGTTGGTATGGAAGTAGATTAATAATGGATTGTATTTATATAGCACTTTTCAAGGCACCCAAAGCGCTTTACAATTCCACTATTCATTCACACACTGGTGGAGGCAAGCTACAGTTGTAGCCACAGCTGCCCCGGGGCAGACTGACAGAAGCGAGGCTGCCATATCGCGCCATCGGCCCCTCTGGCCATCACCAGTACGGTAAAGTGTCTTGCCCAAGAACATAACGAGCAGGACAGAGAGCCCGGAGATCAAACCGGCAACCTTTCAGTTACAGATGCGCTTCCAAACCCCCTGAGCCATTAGTGAGCATTACTCAGGTAACTGGTAATGCTGACCAGGTAGCATCAAATTCTAAACTTATATTTTTTTCTTTTAAAAACAAAATCCCTCTGCTTCAACATTTGCTGTTTTCCTTGTTCTAGTTTTAATTAAAACTCATATGTTCTGTGATTATAAATGTGTTTTGCACAGCCTCCCAGCTTCTTTGGAAACAAGGTTGTAAATTGCTTCAGGACATCTTTAAATATCTTATAGTGGCATAGCTCACACAGCAGCGAGTCCACAGCACCTGATCGGGTTTCCCCGTTTATTCTTTTTGTGGTTTTCACGTGTGACCAGTTAAAAATAATATTTTCGGTTGCTGTTATTGAATTGATGTGTTTTGATGGAAGTGATCAGTGATTGCTTATGTTAGGAATCGCACTTCTATCTGTCCTACCTCAGTCCTGTTGGCATCTTTGTCCCCCATCGGTGTCGTTTGTGTTTGCCATCTATATGGTCCGCAGTTGTCGCTTGCGACCAGCCAGTAGTCAGTACCAAATGCCAGGAAGAAACACAGAGTCCCTATTACCCCAAAAATCCCCCCAGACAGGGCTGCAGCTCCCACCCTCATAACTCCGGCCTTTACCCCGCTTTAAAGTATGATTCCTCTTAGCTTTTAGTCTTCAGGTCAGTGACTCCTTACTTGTGTCCACTCTGAAGGCTGTCTGCCCAGTCCCAATCCTAAAGAACATGGCCAGCCTCTCTCAGCCACTCCCTGGCATGCTGGGAGCTGTGAGGAAAAAAATGCTACAGTAACTGAGCAGGTCAAACAGAGGGAGGTGGGGGGACAGGAGTTATTTTAGGATGCAGTAAGCCTGTCCTCGTCAGATTACCAGTGTATGTATTTTGCTGTGCATTTGTAAAGGAAACAAGGAGAGGAAAGATTGGCGTGAGGACGTTGTGGGCAGCAGGTATCAGCATTTATGACTGCGAGGTATTTGTAATGTTTGTGTTACTCTGGGAATGGTGCTTTGAAAATGAATTAGGCTGGAGATGCAAGAGTTGTTCAAGAGGTGAAACATAGAGCTGAGAAAAGCTTTATTGTAGCCGGCAAATACTCTGAATAAATAAATAAAACCATTAAATTCATTTTATGAGGAATTTACTTTGGATGCGTCCATGAAATTGCTGAAGACTTCTACTAGTTCTGCTTTGCACCTCACATCTCTGTGCTTAAAGGAATACAAGGTACTTATCACTTCAAATGATGGAACACGCTGAGTTCTTTGCTTTCATATGTTTTTCCTCCCTCCCTCCCCGTGTCTCACAGTCTGCATTCATTGCTGCTTCTCATTCTCCAAAACAAAGCTGAGGTGTTTCCTGGCGGCTCTCTCCATGGTTTCCTGATGTTTTGGAGAGACTAGGTCTTCTCTAGCAGCTTTTGGATCCATTGATCTAGTCTGAGCCGGGCCAGCTGAGTCTGAGGAGTCCAAGAGAGTGGATCGTGGACTAATGGAGCACACTGCCAAGAGGGAAGAGGGTGAAGTGAGCTCAAGAGTCACAAAGTCAAAAAAGCTTCTGGTCAAAGATCAGGAGGGAGAGAAATACTAATAACCTGTTTTTTTTTCTTTCTTTTCTTTAAGTTAGAGCAGAAAGTTTGAGAGACAGCAAACACACAGTTAAAAAACTGCATGAATTAAAACACAATTTTGCAGAAGTAGACAGGATGACTGAGTTTTAATCTTACGTACTAACTAGCAAGAAAAGCAAAAAGCCTTTAAAAGTAAAGCTTTCCATTTGTTCAACATAAGTTTGATAAACAGACATTTGAAAAAGAAAGTGGTTGTCGGACTCTATGCGATCACATGAAAAAAACAAAGTGCACCTTTATTGGTTCCATATGAGGGGAAAGTAGCAGCCTTAATTCATAATTTTGGTCATGTAGCCTGGAAAGTAGCAGCCTGGAGAAACTGCAAAAAACCAAAGAGCTGCATGTCTGACTCCACGGGCCTCAGTTAGCATGTTAAATGTTAAACTTCATGACAGAATGGTTGGTGAGATAAGTTATGGCTTGTTTTAGAGTGCCAGGAGAAAAAACGACCATGGCAGCATGGTTTAGTTTTGAAAAGCTGCATCTGAACAAACAACTTCTGAAACAATGTCATTTGGACAGACCAACAAGACCGAATTTGAGCTGTCTCACCATCATGCACAGTTACGTTTGGAAAACTTAGACACAGCATATGAGCTGTCAGGCACAGTGGTGGAGGGGTGGTGATTTGGGCTTGTCTTGGGGCTGCGAGACCCGTGCACCTTGCAGTTATTGAGTTTAACTCAGTGCACCAAAGTCATCTAGAGTCAAATGTAATGCTATCTGAGAGCTAAAGTTTGGCTGAGAGTAGGTTATTTGGCATGGTAATGATCCCAAACATCGAGGTGTTACCATGGCTGAGCCAAAGTCCAGACATCAGCTTCATTAAAAACTGTGGTAGGACATAAAGAGAACCTGCAAAACCGCAATGAACTGAAGCAATGATGTAAAGAAGAGCAGGAAAAATGTATTGACAATGATGCGAGAGACTGATAAGGTCATACAGAGAATTAATGATTCAAGTTATTGTTACGTAAGTTGGTCCTACAAGCTGCTGAATCATGCAGAGGACTTGGCTGTTTTTTTATAGGACTGCATAGAGTCCTGTCAAGACTTTCTGTTTCACATGGCTGTGCATCTGGCTGCGTCTTTACCTGTGTGAGATCTGCTAAGTCCAGTTCTCACTCTCTGTGGCTCACTTAGCCCACCATCCTCCCCCTGCAAAAGTAGAAATACACAGTACAGCACCATGGAGGATGTTCTCTACTCTGATACCGACACTCCATCATTCACGTAGAGTTTAAACAGATTCCTAAACTTGGATGCAGTATTTCAACATGAATCCACTAAGCCACAGGTGTCGAACTCCAGGCCTCGAGGGCGATGTGTCCTTGATCCAACACAGCTCATTCAAATGGCTAAAGTACCTCCTCAATAAGTCTTGAAGTTTTCCAGAAACCTGGTAAGGAGCTAATCATTTGATTCAGGTGTGTTGACCCAGGGTGAGATCTAAAACCTGCAGGACACCGGCCCTTGAGGCCTGGAGTTCGACACCCCTGCAACCCTGTGAACTTACTCTCCTAACTATTCAGTCTTTTTAATTCTGTTCAATAAAACCTGAATATGAGGAAATGCAGGTAGTTTGCATGCACCTGAAAGTGTGTGATTGTGTTGTATGAGTATCTTTCTCCCAGACTTTGGTGTCTGTAAAGGGGCTTCCTTGTTCTGTCCACCGATGTGTCCTGGTGCAGGGTGTGTCTGCTGTAGGCTGGTGTC